GTGTGCTATATAGTAAAGCATTTTTTGGGTCATCCGAATTTCGACGTCAAAAATGCCAAAAAAATTTGGAAATCCGTAAAAACCTTGGCTATTCATCCAGTTGGCCCTCACGGCCATTCCAACCCATTTTCAAGGTCAAACAAGCCCTGAATCGCGCATACGCCCCATTTCGATAATTTTCATGTGCTATAGCAAACCATTTTTTGGGTGATCCAAATTCTGACGTCAAAAATGCAAAAATATTTTGTGGACATCCATCAAGAACTTGTCTACGCATACGGTTGGCTCTCACATCAATTTTGACCCATTTTCAAGGTCAAATGAGCCCCGAAGCGCGCATACCCCCCATTTCGACGATTTTCCCGTGCTATATCAAATAATTATTTGGGTGATCCGGATTCCTACGTCAAAAATGCCAAAATATTTTGTGGAATTCCTTCAAGACCTTTTCTATGCATATAGTATGCCCTCATGGGAATTCCAACCTATTTTCAAGGTCAAACGATCCCCGAAGCGCGCATATCCCTATTTCGACGATTTTCGTATGCTATAGCAAACCATTTTTAAGTGATTCGGATTCCAACGTCAAAAAAGCCAAAAAAATTATGAACGTCCGTCAAGACCTTGTCTATGCATTCAGTTGGCTCTCACGGCAATTCTGACCTATTTCAAGGTCAAACGAGCCTTGAAGCGCACATACCCCCTATTTCGATGATTTTTGTTTGCTATAGCAAACCATTTTTTGGGTGATTCAGATTCTGATGTCAAAAATGCCAAAATATTTTGTGGAAGTCCTTCAAGACCTTGGCTATGCATCCGGTTGGCCCTCTTTGGAATTCTGACCCATTTTCAAGGTTAAACGAGCCCCGAAGAGCATAACCCCCCCCCCCTCCCTTTTCGATGATTTTTGTGTGCTATAGAAAACCATTTTTTGTGTAATCCGGATTCCGACGTCCAAAATGCCAATTTTTTTGTGGACGTCCTTCAAGATCTTTGCTATGCATCAGGTTGGCCCTCACGGCCATTCTGATCCATTTTCAAGGTTAAACGAGCCCCGAAGCGCACATACCTCTCTATTTCGTTGATTTTTGTGTGCTATAGCTAACCATTTTTTGGGTGATCCAGATTGCGACATCAAAAATGCCAAAATATTTTGTGGACGTCCGTCAAGACCTTGGTTATGCATCCGGTTGGACCTCACAGCCATTCTGACCCATTTTGAAGGTAAAACAAGCCCCGAAGTGCGCATACCCCCTATTTCAATGATTCGTGTGTTATAGCAACATTTTTTTGGGTGATCCAGATTCCGACGTCAAAAATGTCAAGATATTTTGTGGAAGTCCTTCAAGACCTTGGTTATGCATTCGATTGGCCCTCATGTGAATTCAAACCCATTTTAAAGGTCAAAAGAGCCTCGAAGCGTGCATACCCCCATTTCAAAGATTATCGTGTGCTATAGCAAACCATTTTTTGGGTTATCCGGATACCAACTTCAAAATTGCCAAAAAAAAATTTGGACGTCCATCAAGACCTTGGCTATGATTCTAGTTGTCTCTCACGGCAACTGCGACCCATTTTCAAGGTCAAACGAGCTCCCTGAAGAACGCATATCCCCTATTTTGACGATTTTCATATGATATAGTTAATCATTTTTTGGGTGATCCGGATTGCGACGTCCAAAATGTCAAAAATTTTGTGGACGTCCAACATGATATTGGATATGCATCCGATTGTCCCTCACGGCCATTTGAATTCAAAAGTGTAACTATACACGAGAAAATAATCATTATAAATTTTCTCTATTTAAGTTGGTATAATTTCTTAATAAAGGGATTTAATTAAAATTACTAATTATGAGTTTGCTTAGTAATATCTCTTTATGATTTTATTTTTTTGGTTAAGAAATTTAAATTGTGTAGTAGTATATTATTACTCTATTTTTGAAGTTATCATATCAATCACAAGAAATCACCTATGGCTAAAAATCAACTTGACATTATCATCTAAAAAATAATTTTCAGTATAGAGAGCATAAATTCATCTTGTTTATTATTCTTCAAAGTATTTTTTTTTTTATAATTTTTTTCTGAAAAAACTTTACTATCACAAACTAGAAATATTCGTGCGAGACCTCTTTTTTATTTTACAAATAGATCGAACCCAAAGTACGTGGATCTTTTGTAAGATTTGAATTTCAACCACTTGTGAAATTAAAAGAATTAAACTTCATTTGACTTATCGTTACGGATTATTGGTAATTGAACTTTTTTCTTTTCGACTTACAGTTACAGAAAGAAACATATTTCGATATATTTTTTCTATACTTAACATAAAATTACAAAATTCATTTTTTAAATATTCATGTCAAATTAAAATTAACCAAAGAAACTAAAACGAATGGATAATGAAGAAAAAAAGTCAGCAATAAAAAACAGTATGATAAACGAAGTTAAGAAAAAAACAGGTAGTAATAAAATCAAAGAACACGAGGAAAACTTTCTCAATTACCTATTACTAGCTTTCTACCCTAATTATTGACTATATCATATTATTTCATCTATAATCATGTATTCGATAAATTATACGAATATTGTATCGACCTACTTATACCTCATATAAATTATATCATATATCAAGACTTGAGCATGCGAAAGCGAAAAAAATTTGTCCTTATTTCAACAAAAGAAGTACGGGCTTCTTTGCAAGAAGAACTTTTTTTGTCTTGGTTCCAATTCAATACTAAACAAGTCCGAACTAATTGAATACTTGTGTCAGAAATTCCTCGAATCGGTATTGCGTTCGCAAACGCGTTTTACCTTTTATTTGATATAAGGGCAGTTTCGGTATTTGTGTATACTTACGTCCCCACTGCATTGCCTGTAAGTGCCACTTACAATACAAAGTTTGCATTTTAATTTTAATTTTCATCACAAATAGTTATCTTGTATTTTTATAAATGAAATGTATTCATTTTTTTTTATTTTGGTGAACAATATCTCAATTGTTTTATAGGTATTTCTAGTTCTAATTTATGTAATATAGCTGAAATGTTGAGATTTAATCAATTTTTTTATTGGTACACTTTTTTATGCTTTTTAAATAATGTAATCTCTTAATTATTATGTTTTATAATGATTTTATACCATTTTTAAGTAAATAAATTATATTTGGAAAAATTACGCGACGTGATAAATATTTATACTATATTTATAATAAATAACATATATTAATATATACGAAATAAAATTTGAATTTTATAAGCTCAGAAATGTCAAAAATAAATTATGATTACTTACAATTTACTATAACCATTAAATAGATTATGTTAATTACGATCACGATGACCGTTAGTTACTTATAAACCCGTTAAATTCTAATATTCGTCATTAAGTACAGAAAATCAATTCATATACTAATACATATGAATAATACGAAACTTATCAATTCATTTTTCATGACATCAAAATAAAAAAGACATCATTATATATCGAATTCGAATATAAACAGAAATAAATAACCACTTGACCATAAAAAAAAATACACGTCAAACTTATTATTATTATTTCAAAATACATAACAAAAACAACATTATAGTATTTTTAAAGTTATTATGGTACTACTAATTTATATAATAGTAGTAGCAGTAGCTAGAAAGCCACTGAATATACTCAAGTTAGCTTTCATCAAAACCTAATTACACATAATATTAGTACTAGTTAATTAATACTTATAATAATGCATTAACAGAAAACATAGGATTAACATCCACTAATTAATCTCCATGTTTCTGTAGCATAGCAACTCATACATTAAAAGGAAAATACGTTATTTACATATAACATTATTCAGATATCGCTCTGTCACGATCCAAAATCTTTTAGCCTTTCATTTCACTGATGCTTGGATCGGGTATCCCCACTGTAGAGCCTGCCATTAAATTAATAAAAGAGATTAATTGAAATTATTAAGTTCTTTTGCTAGTTGATACCACTAGATTATAACGCTGTTTAATAATCTCTCTTTATGATAAAAAAAATAAATAAATAATATAGTTAATTATTACTCAATTTTTCAAATTATCATATCAAACTAGGAATTACCTATTGTTAAAATCACCTTCACATTTCATTTTAGAAAAGAATTGTCATTACATCAAGCATAAATTCATCTTGTTATTATTCGCATGTATTTTTTTTATGATTATCAAAAATACTTTACTACATGCTGAGGCGGAATCAAGATTTTCAATAAGAGGGGCTTAAAATTTATAGAAATACATGAAGTAGTCGACGGGGGTTCATATCTATTATATATAGAGAGAGAGAGAGAAAATATTTTAACTATGTTTAAATAATATAATTTTCCGTTGAATGAGGTTCAGATGAACCCCTACCTACAAAGTGACTCCGCCCTTGATGACATGTGCCACAAGCTAACAATATTTGTCAGAACCTCTTTTTTATCTCACAAGTGGACAGGACACAAAGTAATGTGGACTTTTTGTAAGATTTAAGTTTCTAACTACTTGTGAAATAAAAAGAGACCTCATTCAATTGACAGTTACGGATTGATAATTAATTTTTTAATGGAGGGAGGGGGGGGGATTGTGTTTAAGAGGGCATACCAATCATAAACGGTGGGTGCATTAGGGTGAGAAGGTTTGTCAAAGACTTCAGCACCAATTCTCTTGGTTGCACTGTTGCTCCCCGGATTGAACACGCTCCTCCACACATTATCTTTACGCGCCGCCGTTGGCGAGTAAGTGTTTGGGGTCCCCGGGCTTCCCGGTGTCCTTGGGCTCGATAAACTTGAGCCGGAGCCCGGCATAGATAAAGACCTTTGGTAACTTTTACTTGCTCCTTCTCCTCCTTCTCCACCTAAAATCGTGACCCAATGAATATTGAAGAAAAAATAAAAAAAATTATTTGTGAATTTAAATATATCTCTATAATAGAATATTGCATAATTTATTGCATATACATTACCAAAAAATGATCATATTTTTTATAAAAAGAATACCATAAATCTTATTCACGATCTATCGAAGATTTCTCAAAAATAATCTCTTGATCTATTCAATCCACCTAGGTACGATATAGTAATTAATATTATTTCACAAACCCCATTATGAGTTAACATCAATATATTGTTTAATGCATAAACATAACAACCGCCAAAAAAAAAAGTCATATATTACATACGGGATAACATAGTGGCGAAATTAGAAGTTTCATAAAGATATTCAAAAATAGCACAACAAAAGCTTTTTTCAAAAAGTAGAACTAATGAGATTCGAAACACACAAATACTTCCTTATTCAAAGGAGGTGAAACCACTGAACTATAACAACTTGTCAAGTCAAAAGATATTCAAAATATGTTATTAAATCATTTGTATATTACTTTACTTGTATAAAAAAAATCAAATAAAGAGTGTCCACTTGAATATCTATCAAAAAAAACAAATTTTTATTTATGTATATCTACTTATAAAATAGAAATAAAATCTATATCCACAAATCCTTCTCAGATTTCATATGTGAAATCACTAATATATTCTTTTCATAAACAAGTGTGTTCTACTTTAGTGCATAAATATAACAACAAAATATCATATATTATAAAAAGGTAGTATGAATCTTATTGATCTATAAAAAAAAACAATTTTTCTATCTTGTAAAATCTATCTATACGTCGTAGAAGTAAAATTCATTTACACGTTATTTTTTCTCAGATCTCACTTGTAAAATAACACTGATATATCGTTATCATAATTAAACAAGAGTGTTCTAATTTAGTTTATAAATATAGTAACAACAAAAAAAATATCATATATTATAAAAAGTTTACCATGATTTTGGATTAGAGTAATGGACTTTCTAAGTTTGCCAAGTCCTTTATCAGGTTTAGGTCCAGCCATAACATCATCCCAAAGCTTTTCAATTAACACCATTTTTTTTATTTTATTTCTCTCTTCTCTTTTAACTCTGTAATGTAAAAATGGTTGTTTGCCTAGTAGAAGTATATATAGAAAAGTATTGGTTTACTTTGGTGTATATGTGTAAAATTTCATCATTTTTTTTGGGGGGGGAGTTATGTATAATATTACTTTATTTATTTTTAATTTTATAATATTTTAAATATTTTAAAATAATATATGTGACGTATGTGCTCTTTTAAGAGTACTAATTTGTAAGTAATCACGATAGATCTAAAATAACTAATTAAACTCAAATTTTATTTTTGAGAAGCACCTAAGGGGTGAAATCTTTGAGTCCGTTCAAAAAGTCTTCAAAAATCATTGTTCAGATGAAAACAAATTACTCGCAATCACAGGCACATATATTGATCGATCAAGATGTGTGTGCTTAGTCCTTCTTATATATTTATCTTATAGTATATAAATTTTTCAGATTGATTTTTTCGATCTCTAATATGAATAAGATAATTTGTGGTAAATGTAGCCTTTTAATTATGAGTTTATCTGAATTTATAATTTTATTTGAACTTAATTAATTTAAATTTATATTAAAAAATTTATTTTTAAGTAACTTTATTGAAACATATGATCTCTAATCAGCAAAAATAAATATCACCTCATTACAATCTTTACTAATAACAAATCAAACTAAAGAATTAGGGTCGGTTAAAATAACATATTTTAACATCGAAATCTCATCTGATATTCAATATATTCATCGCAATCCCTTAAAGCATACACAAACTACTAAAAATGTATTAGAATTATTTTCATATCGAAAACTCAAATCTAAAATTTTTGATTAAATAATTTTTTAAAAAAAATATATAAATAATCAAATTAAATATCAAGTGATTACCAGAAGTGT